CTGAGGTAGGAGAATGGCGTGAATCCGGGAGGCGGAGCTTGCAATGAGCCGAGATCACGCCACTGCGCTCCAGCCTGGGCAACAGAGCAAGACTCTAATAATAAAAAAAAAAAAAAAAAAAAAAAAAAAGAAGGATAAAACGAGACTTCAATTTTAAAAAGCTTTATAGACAACAACTTCCCTCTTCTTACACAAATACATTTACTTCTATATATCTATTAAAAGTAAAACTCAATAAAGATCAGAAAAAAACTGACACTAATAAATTACATAAAGATTCTCGTCACCAGCAGGGCATGGTGGCTCACGCCTATAATCCCAGCACTTTGGGAGGCCGAGGCGGGCAGATCACAAGGTCAGGAGATACAGACCATCCTGGCTAACAAAGTGAAACCCCATCTCTACTCAAAAATACAAAAAATTAGCCGGGCGTGGTGGCAGGCGCCTGTAGCCCCAGCTACTTGGGAGGCTGAGGCAGGAGAATGGCATGAACGCAGGAGGCGGAGCTTGCAGTGAGCTGAGATCCGGCCACTGCACTCCAGGCTGGGCGACAGAGCGAGACTCCATCCCCCACACACACAAAAAAAGATTCTTGTCACCAAATGGCTTTGTTTACAATAGTTCAGCCAAATAGCTATGACCAACAGCACGTGAGTGTGGCTCTCCACTGTACCCTAGCCAATAACTGGCTTTTAACAACGCAAAAAATCTTTCCTAAATGACAGGCATGAGGCCACATGTCAGAGGTGTATTAACAACAATATTCTTGTGCTGCACCTACCATCAGAGTGTGGTTTTCAGATTAGGGTACTTTTGTAAAACAGCTATCTTTCTTCTGTCATTCATTATACATTATAGTGCAGTTTAAAACGATGACTTATGTTACTGTGACAAGTGCTCCTGACCCTTCTCCCATAAACAATAAAGAGCTCTTGACCTGTCTCTGGGGAGACAACAGGGGATGCCTTCAGTTGAGCACAGTGCTCAGGTGTCTTACAAGGGGCTATTTTCTTCCCTTCCCCCATATGCAAGATATCTGCTATATCTCAAACTATATTTAGGGAAACTGAGGTGCTGGTGGTTCCTCGTACCCTAAAATGCAGAGCTTTTAACTGCTTTTACATGGTTTGAAGTTCTACTGCTCACTGCCACTTCTAAATTATCTCTGGTTTTTTGCTGTATGTTGCTTTTCTTGTCCCTTCTATGTCATTTATACAAAATTTCTCGCCATTTATGTGAAAGAGGGGAAAAAAGGAACTCATACAGACATTGCCACTAAATCAGACAAACTTTTCTCTTGGAATTAAATACTTACAGCACAAAAAAGTATCTTGAACTTCCCTTGGCAACTATTCTTTACCTGATGATTTTTTCCCTAAAGACAACTTTACTTAATCTCCTTCTGGATTTAGAGCAGTTCTACAGATCTGAGAACGGCAGAAGACTGGTCAGTCATCAGGTGTCCAAAGTTATCCTCTGGTCTAATACTTTGTGAGATAATTTTCTTAAAAGATTTAGCCATAAATATAAGTTGAAGAACAGAACAAGGCTAATTTGGAAATAATTCCATGAAACCAAAATACAACCAAATGATCCCCTTCGAGAACTTAATAAGTATCACATTGAAGACAGAATCACTAGACTCACCGGTTGTCAGTGCTGTGAGCTGGGAAGTGTGGGTAAAGGGCACAGAGAAGAGCGGCAATGGAAGAATTTGATGTGCTCAAAGAGTACCTGCAAAGTAAGTTTGGTGGGGACAGATGTTACCGATTACATTGCACATACTTTCAAGGCATTCTTGAGAATCAGGAAACTGGGGTATAGTAAGGCATACTGATAAGATGCCCTCATAATACAAGAGTGTCAGTGGTGTGAACATTCCACTTTTCATTTAGTCCTTAGGCCATTTCAAGATCATCACTATTTAAAGGCAAAGTAATATCCCATAAATGTTAGATTTCAACCCTTGAAGCAAGGTTTTAACATACAATAGCACAGTAGTGAAGACCATGAATGCAGTCCTAGAAATGATAAATATTGAAGACTCATGTACCAAGTATGCCACCTTCTTATCCAATTTTATTAATATATATGCCTATTTATACAATTATAAATCTCATTTTTAAAAATACAGGATGTTTTAGTTGGTATGTAAACAGTTTTTTTTTATTTCTGTAAAGCATGAGGATTCCTTTAGAATGACTGACTAAATGAAAAGGCAAAAGTTATCACTAAAAACTTACAATGACTGTATAAACAACTATTCCTCCAAATATAAATTCTTTTTTCGCCAATATGATACACTTTTAAGATAAAGTTTTATAGACTTTTAAAATATTCTCTTGGTAAAGGGTCTATTAAAATTTTCCTTAAATTACTTTATTGTTGCTCAAATTTAGTATAGCAAACTGGCAAATTAATCTAAAGTCCCAGAGTTTTTCTAAAAAATATTTTGAAATAAAGATGGTGTAGGACATCACATAAAACCACTTCTAACTATTAAATATAAATATTTTTATTACACACAAACATGTACACACATATACCCAAATCTCTTTCCCTGTCTTTTAAAATAATTGGAGTATTAAATAAGAACTTATAATTCATTACATATGCTTATGTATTTAATGGATTAGAGAGAAGAGATTTCAAATTTTAAGCAAAGACATACATCTATTTTGGCATGTACATGGAATAAGCCATTTTCTTTGTACCATTTTGGTAAACCAAAAATCAAAGATAAATATTAAGATATTAATGTTAGAAATTTTGGGTAGAAACATAATGGTGTAGCTATGCTAAGTTTAAATGTTGTTAGAGAACATACACGACCATTTAAAAACCAAAAATCACTAGCAAAGCAGTAGCAGAATGGTAGAAAAATCTATTCGATATGAAAGAAGAGCAACGAGAGTCATTCAGTTTGGAACAATGAAAGATGTGGAGTAAGAGACATGGAGAGGCTCATTTTGAAAGGAAAAAAATTTCAAAAATCATAGAATAAAATAAGTAAGAATTTTCATAGTAATATTTCTTTAACCATTATTAATTCTAAACAATTAAAGAAAGACAATTCCACAAAACATGTTGAGAGGAAATGCACACCTTTCTGATCATCTTTACTTTCTGTACTTCTGAAAAGGTGAGTTCCAATGGTGAGCTCAGTCTTAAAGAAGAGGGGCAAATTAGCCTCCGTAGACATTGTGGCCATTGACCAAGGTCACACACACTAGAGCTAAATATATGCAGGGGTATACCATATTCACAGAATGGAAGACAATACTGTAACAGATAATCTCAGACACATAGAATACTTAACACAGACACACAGAATCAAGGCAATTCTGATCAATATTTTATCAGGTTATATAGCATGGAACAGACGCCAATATTTATATGAAAATGCAAGGAGCCAAGAGAAAAACACACTTTTGAAGAAGAAAACTCAGGTTGAAGGATTTACTCAACTGGATACCAAGACTCATAAGACAGTATAGTACTGGTGCAAGTACAGAAAAACAGACCAGTAGACCCTAATAGCCCAGAAATAAACACAGGTGAAAAGACACTTAACTTATATAATAGAGGTGGTACTGCAGAGCAGTGGAGAAGGATAAACTTTTCAATAGCAGTGGGAAAAAAAACATGGAGAAAAATCCGTACCAGGTAGATTTTAGATCCAAATGTGAATGGAAAAGCTAAAAACTTCTAGAAGATAAAATAGGAGAATATCTCCTTTTCTCTGGGCAAGAAAATATTTCGTAAGCAGGACAAAAAAGTAAAAACTATAAAAGAAAAACACTAATAATTATGTCATCAAAAGACACCACTGAGAGAGTGAAAAGGCAAACAAGCCCTGGGGTGGCAAAGATAACTGCAACAAGCAAAACCGACCAAGGGCTTACGACATAGTTTAAAGAATCCACAGAAATCAATACAAAGCTAAACCAATGTGGAGCAGTCAACCTCATCACAACAGAAAGTAGAATAGTGGCTGCCAGAGGCTGGTGGGAGGGGCAAACAGGGAGTTGTTAATGGGTATAGTGTCAGTTTTCCAAAACGAAAAATGTCTGGAGATTAGCTGCACAACAATGTGAATATACTTAACACTACTTAATTGCATACTTAAAATTGGATAAATTTTATGTTATGTGTATTTTACCACAAATAAAAATTTTAAAATAAATACAAAAACTGGGTAGCAAGAGACTTGGACATCATAAAAGAGGTTTGCCGTTGGCTATTAAAAGTATAAAATGGTACTCAAGAACATGATTCAGAAATACAGAAATTAAAGCCACCATGAGATCCTGTTATATACCTACTAGTTGGCTAAAACTAAAAAGACTGTAACAATAACAAGGGTTGACAAGGATATGGAACAACTGGAATATCACATCCTGCCCATGAGTATGTAAAATGGTACAAGTGCACTGCAGCACTGATGGTATTATTCACTGAAGGTGAATACACACCTATAACCTATGATCCAATTCCACACAGAGATCTATATACAACAAAATCAAAGACATGTACAACTTTCCCTAACAGCATTGTTCATAACAGCCTCAAACTAGAAGCAAGAAGCACATCCATCAATGGGGGAGATCAATAAAATGTGGTACAATCATACAATGAAATGTAATACAACTTAAATTACAATTACAACTTGAAATACAACTTGTACTACAACTTGAAACTTGTAATACAAGAAACTGAAACTTGAATAACCCATTGCTACACACAACATGAATCTTACAAACATAATGTTGAGCAAAAGTAAAGTGCAAAAGGATGCATCATGCATAATTCAATTTAAATGTCAAAAACAGGCAAAACCAATCTAAGGTGTTATAAGACTAGACAGTGGCTAACTCTGGGGTAAGGAAGATAATAGTGATTGAGGGGGTGCATGGCAGAAGCAGAGACGGGTGTCATAAGTTGCAAGTGCTATACGGAATCTTGATCTACACGATAACGAAGAGATTTTTCTATGGTAGATAGCTCTTTGACCTGTGCACCTATGATGTGTAGACTTTTCTATGTATGTGTTTTTATTTACTACGGATCATCTAAAGCCAGGGCAGTCTTATAAAGGATGTAGTCAGGAATGACAGATGTTGGAAAAAGATCAAGAAAGTTGAAAACTAAGCAAATGTCACAGGATCTGTATATGATTTTGTTTGTGACCTTTCTGTGAAAGTAGTTTAGTGGAGCGGTAAAATTTTTAACCAGTTGGGCACAAGCAGTGATGCACCGAAGCACTGAGCACAGAGTATTCTGAGAAATAACAGTGATGCTCAGTGTGTCAGAGAGGAAGGTAAATCTACTGAGTAGACCATAAGCTGATGGTTAAACTACAAAGAAGCCCATCAAGTGCAATAATGCTGCTAGATAAGCTAAGAGCTAGTCAGAATTGAAATTTTTCATGTATCTTCAAGATTAAAGCAAGTCACCCTTATAGATCTCACCAATGAGATCTTTTCACTGGAAAAAATACATATTCACTTACCTTCCTCCTCCCAAAAATAGAAGTCCAAGGGCCATGTGGTGGGCTAAGTGAAAACCATAGTTCATTTCACCACCCGTTTTCATGTGTAAGAAGCGACAAAGCTGCAAAACCTTTAGGTTTCCCGAGCCAGCCATGACCATGGCGAGAGACAGCAGCACCACGCTCAGACAAGTTTCTAGGTTGTAAGGACCTGTCTGCAAGGTGAAGAGATGACATCACTGTAATGTTGTGTTATATTTCTTTATTATCAGAACTAACTTAGCCATCATAAGAAGACTACAAAAGTTTGGAACTAAAAAAATGATCTGTAAATACAAATATTTTCCCCAATTATGTAAGTTCAAGGGAGATAATTTCAAATACTGAATATCAAGAAGACAAAAATCACTTGGAATGTCACGCCCAAAGGTAACTGGTGTTAACATTTTGGCTTTTTCTCTGAATTTTTCCTTTATCTACACATAGTTTTTCCAAATGAAATGGAGATGTTACTCTACACAATATTTTTAACCTTTTAAATAACCTATTAGAAGCAAGCTTCACGCACAAAAAAACTGGGGGTTTTTTGGTGTTTTTTTTTTTTTTTTGAGACAGGGTCTCTCACTTTGCCACCCAGACTGAAGTGTAGTGGCACAGTCTCAGCTCACTGCAGCCTCAACTTCCTGGGGTCAAAGGATCCACCTACCTCAGCCTCTCAAGTAGCTGGGACTACGTGTGTGTCACCACACCCGGCTAATTTTTTATTTTTTGTAGAGATGGGGTCTCCCTACGTTGCCCAGACTGATCTCAACCTCCTGGGCTCAAATGATCTTCCTGCTTCAGCCTCTCAAAGTTGCTAGGATTATAGGAGTGAGCCACTGCACCCAGCCACAAAAAATTCTTGTATAACGTAATTTTGGTAGCTCCACTGTATAAGAATGCATATATATGCCATAATCAAATTTAATTAACTACTTTTAGATGTTTTTGATGTTTCTAACTTTTCCATATTATAAACACTGTTGCATAAATCTATGTAGTTTTCACCAGGAAATAAAATATCTTAGTCTTGTCATCAGAGAAGCAATGCCTCAAAAGCAACTGAATCCTTACTAAGTACTAATATTTTTTTAAAAGGAAATTCCCAATATTTAATACTGAGACAGAATTACATGAGGTATGACAATCCATGAATATTATGGCCTTTCTTATTCTCTTGTCACAAGAACTAGATACCTGTGCGTCCTTCCAGTATAATCATATTCTCACTAATATCCCAAAACAAAAATAAAAAGATGAGCCAATGGTTCTTCAAATCTCTCATTCTACATTCAAACAAACAGCAGCAATATCTGATAACACATAAGTAACTGGATTATCAGTAAATTTTTTTCAAGTTTAATTTTATTCCCAAGGAGAATGATAAAAATACTTACAACAGAAGCATTAGGTGCAGACAAATAAGTCATAAAATCTTTTGCAAATTTATGCTAGAAAAACAAAAGAAAAAATTCAAAGTTAAAAGAAGATCTTAAGGCTTTGTTAAAACAAAACAAAAAAAAAAAGAATACAGTAAACTAAAATACTTCTTACCAAACAGTTAAATGCTGATAAGTTTTCTGAGCCAGCAAATCGAAAACCCAGAGACAGACAGGCTCCTGCAATTATGTAGACATGTGCTTGCCTGAAAACAGGTGACAAGAAATTTAAGTCATTATTTTACTTTAAAATTAACTTGAAAGAAGTAACAATAAATATTCCAGTTCTCTAAGTTAGTTTACATCTTTCTGGGAATGATCAAGTGTGCCTCTACTCAGTCAGCAGATTTCTTTTTTTTTTTTTTCCAGATTTTTTTTTTTCAGAAGCATCGGGTCACCCTTACTTGTCAAGTTTGCCCCTTGCCTACAGTTTCATATGCAGCAAAAACAATTTTTAAAATTGTTGCCAATTTGTTTTAATGGAGAGGATAAAAGAGAAATACATACAAGTTAAATCTCCAATATTACTTTTTGAGGGCAAGAGCTCTATACTTCAGAGAGCTTTAACCAACGTCATGAACATCTGATAAAAAATGGTTAGAAACGCCTGGGATTCAGAATTACTTAAATCAAGGACAATATGACTCCTACATAGTATATTTCAATTTATTTATCTGATAGATGCTAGGATAGATAATTTGCATTATACATCACTTACGACAAAGTTTCCAAATTCAAATCCTCTGAGCAAGGCAATTCGATTTCACTGAGAGAGATACTATTTTCTCTTATAATCTGTCAATATAGAAAGCAAGAATACTTAGATATCAACGTTCTCATTGCAAATATTTAATAATCTGAAGAATAACACAGCTTATCATGGCTATATTTATATAAAGTAAGCTTTACCAAACCATTTCACTCAAAAGCCTGTATTTTAACCACATTGAACGCAATCAAATTTCAAATCTAAGATGGGCTAAGTAAGAATAATAATTAAGGCTGGGTGCGGCGGCTCACACCTGTAATCCCAGCACTTTGGGAAGCCTAGGCAGGCGGATCACCAGGTCAGGAGTTTGAGACCAATCTGACCAACATGATGAAACCCCGTCTCAACTAAAAATACAAAAATTAGCCAGGCGTGGTGATGCACGCCTGTAATTCCAGCTACTCAGGAGGCTGAGGCAGGAGAATCGCTTGAACCAGGGAGGCGGAGGTTGCAGTGAGCAGAGATCGCACCACTGCACTCCAGCCTGGGCAACAGAGTGAGACTCCACCTCAAAAAAAAAAAAAAGAAGAAGAATTAAATAGGGCTAAACAAATATAAACAGGAAGACGTTAGTATATTCTGAATCAATAACACTGTCATAATATTGCACACCAGTCAACTGAAATACAAAGATGATGGCTTTAGAATTGGGGCAGGGGTGAGGGGAAGAAGTGGGAAAAGAGAAATAGGAAAGAACTCTAATCCGATGTATTCTTCTTTACAGGAGGTTTCCAGCATTAAGCCAACATACCTACCACAGGTGAAGTTATTCACTAGGCTAATTACCCAAGCTAAGCTAAACTGTCAGTGTGTTTATCAGCTATGTTACAACTATTGTTTAGAAAAGATATCCTTTTCCTTTTAGTATAGGTAATGAACAACTTATCAAAAAACATATACAGAATATCTAGCTGTAACAACCAAGAACAGATCTGATCCTTTTCTCCTAAAAGAAAAAAAGCCAAAAAAGACAAAGCTATATATTTGCTAAATATATGAATGCATTTCAGATTTATTCGTTTAATCTTTTGAGATTTCTTAGATTTCTTAACATTTCAGGATGTTTTCTTCAATACAACAATAAATATTGGCCGAACGCAGTGGCTCACACCTGTAATCCCAGCACTTTGGGAGGCCAAGGTAGGCAGATCACTTGAAGTCTAGAGTTCGAGACCTGCCTGGCCAACATGGTGAAACCCCGTTTCTACCGGGAAAAAAAAAAAAAAAAATTAGCTGGGCCTGCAATCCCAGCTACTCAGGAGGCTGAGGCACGAGAATCGCTTGAGCCCAGTAAGTGGAGGTTGCAGGGAGCCTAGCTCGCACCACTGCACTCCAGTCTGGGAAACAGAGTGAGACCCTGTCTCAGTCTAAAAAAAATAAATAAATAAAATAAAGTAAAAAAATATTCAGAAGGCACTTACAATACAGTCTTCTTAGGTACTGAATATCACCAAATCAAAGACTTAAAATATCTTTCCTCTTTTTTTTTTTGTCGCCTTGAGACAGGGTCTCCCTCTGTCACTGTACTCCCTCTGGAGCACAGTGGTGCAATCACGGCTCGCTGCAGCCCTACCTCCCAGACCCAAGCAATCCTCCCATCTCAGCTTCCCAAGTAGCTAGGACTACAGGTGCACACCACCATGCTTGGCTAATTTTCGTATTTTTTTGTAGAGATGGGATCTCACTATATTGCCCAGGCTGGTCTTGAACTCCCGGGCTTAAGCAATCCACCCTCCTTGGCCTCCCCAAGTGCTAGGATTATAGGCGTGAGTCACCACACCCTATCTGTAAAGTTTTTTATGAAAGAAAAATTGCTATGAAGATGCTAGTTGTTATTTTACATATGCCCTAAGTTCAAACAGACAAGCGGTTTACAAAGCGACCTTTCATTAAAAAAACAAAAAAATCCTCCTTTTAACGCTAGGTGGCTCACTACAAGGAACCCTGCTCCAGAATCCATGTAGCTCCAGATGAGAACCCAAAGAAAAGTGGAGGCTGATAGGAAATATCAAGGAGGAGAACTGTGAAACTGTTCTCCCTCCTATTTGTAGTATCCCTGTTGTAATAAAGATCAAATACAACATTATAAAGTCTGAAGTAAAAAAAGATTATTCTATACTAAAAGTCCAAAAACCATATTTTCATAAAAATGAAAAACAACCACTGTTTTTTTGCGATTTTTTTTTTTTTTTTTTTAAAGTAGAGACAGCGTTTCGCCACATTGGCCAGGCTGGTCTCGAACTCCTGGCCTCAAGTGACGTGCCTATGTTGGCTTCCCAAAGCGCTGGGCTTCCCAAAGCCCTGGTGTGGTGGCATGAGCCACCACACCAGGCCACAAAAAAGACCACTCTCTGACATGAATTTACACTTTCCACTTTGGAATTACAGTTACTTGTATACGTGTTTAATCTCAGTAAGCCAAACCTAGTACATTTAATAAAGTTTTTTGAGAACACTCTACATGTCTGGTGTATCTTTAATGTATTACAGAACTTAGCATGTGCCTTGCATTTACAGAGGATTAATGAGTATGTGCTGAATGAAGGAGTGAAAGAAAAAGCATTTCATCCTACAATATACATTTTAAAGAGCACTTTCCAACAAACTAAAAGCTCTGACATCTGAATAGGCTAGCAGTTAAAATTATGGTAACAAATGAGCGAGACATTTAAAACAATTCTTCCTCACCTCTTTCATATCAGTGATTAACAAAACTGGAAGAACTAAACAAATAAAAACAAACCTAGGAGTTCTACTTCCTCAAATAATAGATGAATAAACTCCTATCGGGTCCAATTCATACAACAAGTATAAACCCTAGACAAAATATAAAATCCAAACTATCTATGGCAGGAGTCAGTAAACTATTTCTACAAGGGTCAAATAGTAAATATCAGCAACTACTGATCTATGCATTTGTAACAAAAAACAGCTACAGACAGTAAGTAAACAAATGGGCATGGCCATATTCCAATTAAATTTTCTTTCTAAAAATCAGGTGGGCTTAATTCACCAACTCCTGACTCAAGGCACTGGAGTGAGAACAAAAGCAAGCAGATTCTAGAGGGGACAGTTGATTCATGGAAGAGAGGAACACCACTAGGTACATTTTCCTTTCCATAGTTTCCACTCTGAAAGCAGGTCTGTCTGGGCCAAGAAAGACGACAAAAGCTACAATTAAAAGCTCACAACCTTCTTGGCCTTAACAACCAGGATACAGGAAAATACCACACCCATTGGGAGGACAGGACAGAATACTACAAAGGAGACAGCCACAGAGACAGGGCCCCAAGCTCTGTGTATATAAATTCTGTGCAAATGTCTGCCTGATCCACGAACAATGTGTGCACAGGGCAGACTCCAACAGCCCACAGGATAAAGACGTGCACCGAGATTAGAGCTAGCAACCAAGAGAGAGTGACAATCTGATTCCAAGTAAATTAATTGGTTGCTTTAAAAGAAAATGTATATATCTGGGTTTACTGTGCCTGAACTACAAACAACGTGGTTTAAGCTAACACACATTCTCCTGAGAATCTGGAACTTCAGTACATGCAAGGCAGAGGGTACCTTACCTACATGTCAGCTCCCAATTAAAAACTTGGGCACTGAGTCTCTGATGAGCTCCCCTGGTAGACAACCTCAACCTGTACCTCATATCATAATCAAAATTACTTTGAAATGAATTATGTAAGTATACATAAAAACTAAAACTTCACAGGCTTTTAGAGAGAAGTAGAAGAGATTATCTTCATGATGGGGTTAGACAAATGGTTTTTTTATAGGAATAGAGAATAACTATAAAAGAAAAAACTGACAAATCAGATATTATTTAACATTGTAAAATCTTCTGCTCATCAAAACTATTTCTAAGAAAATGAATATGCAAGCCACAGACTGGGAGGGATATTTGCAAAAGAAATCTGACAAAGAACAGGTTTCCAGAATGCATAAAAAACTCCAGCAACGCAGTAATAAAAATACAAAATTTTTAAAAAAATAAGCAAAGGACCTGCACAGACACTTCACAAAAAGCTAGATGGAGGACCAATAAACCAACGAAAAAGTTATCAACATCAATAGCCAGCAGAGAAATGCAAATTTAAACAACGAGATATCATTACATATTCATCAGCAGCACTAAAATTTAAGAAACTAACATCACTACAAATCAGTGAGATGTGCAACAGCCAACACTCTCAAACACTGCTGGTCAATGTGTCAAATGGTAGAGCCGCTTTGGGAAAAGATTTATTAGTTCTAACAAAACTAAATATACCATCTACCCTATGCCTCAGTCATTCCAACCCTACCTAACAGGGTCGCAAATGGAATACACAGGTTGAGGATCCCTAATCTGAAAATCCAAAATCCAAAACGCTCAAAATCCGAACCTTTTTGAACATTAACATGATGCCCAAAGCAAATGCTCATTGGAGTATTTCGGACGTCAGAGTTTCAGATTAGGGATGCTCAACCAGTAAGTATAATTTCAAGTATTCCAAAATTCAACAACGCTTCTGGTCCCAACCATTTCAGATAAGAAATACTCAATCTGTATCACCTAATAATAAAAAGGAGAATGAACTATTAATATACTCAATATCTTGAAAATGCTGAAAGAAGTCTTATACAAAAGGGTATATGCTATATGTGACTTCATTAATATAAAGTTCTACATCAGGAAATTAATACATTTTTGGGGAAAAACAAAATTCATATTGGTTACCCTGGGGGTAGGGGTGAACGCACAAAGCGGGAAGGGGCACAAGGGACAGAGGCTGGTTTCCACAGGCCTATGTGTTAGTCAAATCTTATTCAATAGGATACTTAAAATTGGTGCATTTCACAATATATAAATTTTATCTTAAAAGGAAAAAATGTAAATATCAATTACAGTATGGTACAATTTCAGGATGGAGTATATTACTGTTTGGAATTAACATTGAAATTCATCAAAAAATGTTGGACTAGGTAGAGGAATAGATAAGTGGATAAGTGATTAAACATGTTTATACCATAAAATATTATTGTAGAGTCTATTGGTGATGTGGATGTTCATATAAACTACTTTCAACCTTTGAGATTTTTCTTCTGAAAATACTGAAAGAAACAATCTACATAAAGAAACTGAGACCACTGGGCATGGATAGTTGACTAAGGGCAGTGGTTAGTTACAATATTCAATTTTGAGTTTTTACCAAAAAAATCCGTTTATTTTTAACTAGTATACTTGGCTTATCAAATAAACATGATATAAAGTAATTAAAAGAGTTATTATATTAGGAGATCTAAAATTGTCATGAAGTAAAATAGCATCTTAGAAATGTGTATTTAGGCCGGGCATGGTGGCTCACACCTGTAATCCCAGCACTTTGGGAGGCCAAGGAGGGCGGATCACAAGGTCAGGATATCGAGACCATCCTGGCTAACACGGTGAAACCCTGTCTCTACTAAAAATACAAAAAATTAGCTGGACGTGGTGGCGGGCGCCTGTAGTCCCAGCTACTCGGAGGCTGAGGCAGGAGAATGGCAGGAACCCGGGAGGCGGAGCTTGCAGGGAGCCGAGATCGCACCACTGCACTCCAGCCTGGGCAACGGAGTGAGACTCCATCTCAAAAAAAAAAAATTAAAAGAAATGTGTATTTAATTATGATAAAAATATCAAGAACACTTTTTTAGAGTATTTTGGCAAACGTTTAGTTTTTTTCTTTCATTTTTTAACTGCCACACAACACTGATACTCATATTTAATTTTTAAAAACTACAATTTCTAGGGACCTGAGGCTAAAAGAGAAGGCTGCGGTCTGTGCAGCACAGAATCTTAAAATGAAAGTTCTTAGGTCTTTAAGAAGTATCCTGATGATCAATATTGCCTTCATAAGAAAAAATATTTTACAGAATTTTGAAAAATCCCATAAGATCATAATTTTATGCTACTAAAGATATAATATTTATTACATGTACTTACTTGAGGAACATTGCTGTCAACCCACTTGGAATTTGGTAAAATATCATCCCACAAAATCAGGCATCGAGCAAGTGTCTTAAAAATGCAACAGAGATAAAATTAATTAGAGCAGGTAAAGTTCACAGACTTTATAACAATGATAATAATAAACAGAACAATTTAAGAATCAGTTCCCAACTGATGAGAATTTTGAAAAATAAGTATATGCAAATACAGGAAAAATAAGTATATGCAAATGCTTAGGGCACTAAGCATCAGTGCCCTAATGCTTACAGGCACTAATAAACCTATTGTAAGTCGAAAATACCTTAAGCTGAAAATACATTTAGGCCAGGCTCAGTGGCTCATGCCTGTAATCCTAGCACTTTGGGAGACCATGGCGGGCAGATCACTGAAGGTCAGGAGTTTGAGACCACCCTGGCCAACATGGTGAAACCCCATTTCTACTAAAAATACAAAAATTAACCGAGCATGGTAGCACATGCCAGTAGTCCCAGCTACTCAGGAGGCTGAGGCACAAGAATAGCTTGAACCCAGGAGGCGAAGGTTGCAGTGAGCCAAGATGGTGTCACTGCACTCCAGCCTGAGCAACAGAGCGAGACTCCATCTTATTAAAAAAAAAAGACAAAAAAAAGGAAAAACAAAACACATTTAATACACCTTGCCTGCCAAACATCACAGCTCGACCTAGCCTACCTTAAACATGCTCCGAACACTCACATTAGCCTATAATTGAGTGAAATTACTATAAATTCTCATAGTAAACTGTGGAGGATGGGTCGTTTACCCTCACGACTGTATGGCTGACTGGGAGCTGCAGCTTGCTGCCGTTACCCAACACCAGGAGAGCGTCATACCGCCAGGAGTATGAGAAAAAATTAAAATTCAAAATTGGAAATACAGTTTCTACTGAATGAGTACCACTTTCACACTATGGTTAAGTTAAAAATCCTAAGTTGGGAACCACCTGTAGTATCAACCTAAACTACTCATTAAAATAAAGATTTAAATTTTAACAAAGAAAAACTAAAATTGACTTGAACATCATCAAAGTTTAGACGGCTTGGGGGGTACTTTTTAAAACGTACTCTGGAAAAGAAAAAAATCACAAAGGAAAGAATCATAGCTCTATCTACATCATAATTTAAAAGCTTCCATATGCTAAGTTTAAACATCAGAAAAAAAAGAATCAGAGGGAAAATTTTAGACAATTAAGTCAAATTGTTATTTTCTTTAGATTCAACCTTAATAGTATTATTACATCCCTGATAGTAATCCAAAAATGTAAAATAAAGCAGTAAAAAAGTCCTAATCATTTGTTGCTTTTTAGGAAGTTTTGAATGATAATGTGAGAAAGTGAAATGTCACTCCAAGTATTATATATCAATGTGGTTACCTTTCTTGGGATTCCCAAAGTCCTATTTGCGAAATTTCAAATGAATACTGCCAATTAGATATGCACGACAAATTAAAAATAAAAGGCTCTCTTGTAAAGACATTTGTGTTTGCTATTTATTCATTCATTCATTCATTCATGGAGACCAGCCTATGTTGCCCAGGCTGGTCTCAAACTCCTGGGCTCAAGCAATCCTCCTGTCTCAACCTTCTGAAGTGCTGGGATTACAGGCATAAGCCACTGTGCCCGGCTTACAAACTAAGTTTAAGAACCATAAACAGACTTCTCATGTTAACACAAATGAAAAATGACAAAGCATACCCTAAGCAAGAGAAATTCCGGCTTCACGAAGTCCAACAAATACATGGTGTCAGGGGCTCGCAGCCAATCTGCAATAGATCTGGTGGTGGAGGAAAACAGTAAGGGACACTGCTCAAGTAGAGAGCAAGACAATCAAGAATCTCAAGATCTGTTTCAAAACATTTCTTCCCACTCCACTACTGCTCTACACATTTTTCACAATACTTTACACCTTCTAACGTAATAGCTATTATAGATGTACATGTATGTCTTACTATAACATAAGCTCCACGAGGGCAGATATTTTTAGTTTTGCTCAATGAAATATCCCCAGTGCCAAGGAAGCATTGCCCTACACATTCATCCAAACAGTAAATGATAAATACCTATTTTTAAACACTTCGTTAATTCTGCACACATTTACTTTTTCTAAAGGGAGAAATGTAGAACACTGAAAAGCTCCTTGAATCTTAGAACTTTTTTTTAATTAGTAGACTTAATACATGGCATAATGTCCTGTACTCAACTTACTCTTCTATGCAAAGTGTAAGCATAAATGCCAAAGGTCTACTTTCAAGCGTCAGCACTAACATAGCAAGTTGGGAAGGTAGATGGTTTGGTAGTTACAAAAGCTCTTGAAGTAGGCAAAAACCATTGTTTTACAGGTAACCAAGATCAGACTAATGATAAGTACTTCTGACTTAACCAGTCCTCACAGCAATATGCTAAATTGATGAAAACAAACAGGGGCATTGTTTGGGTGTTACTGACATCAACTACAAAACAGAAATGAACAGAAATTGAAAACTATATTGTCAAATACCATTAAAATAGCCAAATATATTATTTCTAGGTAAAATCTTTATAACTTCAAATACTGCAAGTTTTCCTCCAAAAACTTGCAGTATTTGAAAGAAGGAAAATCAGCTTAATCCAGTACAGGAGAAATAAACACGAGATAACTGAATTTTACAACCAAGGTGAGAGAGGATATCACACTATCATGGCGGAAGGAAGGGTGGGTGGGTAGAAATACCTGTTATTGGTTTTCAAGTAGATCATAGCCAAAGCTAGAGTAGCACCTGGACAAGTCACATCCACATTTATGGTATCTCCCTCCTATTGAAAGAAGAGTTTACGCATGTAAAAGAGCTCTGAATTATTATAAAATTCCTCTGAATACTAGCTATGCTTAAAATTAACATATTTACCAGTGTTAGTATGAACACTAGTATTTCCCAATTAACTTCCTAGCTTCCAGACTTTTATCTGTTACTTTGATGTGTACTTACTTTGATTTGATAACTTGGCGATTTATGTTTCTCCCTATGCATTCCTGTTTGAAAGCGCCTATGTCCTCCAACCATGTACTGATAGAGCTGCTCAGGCACGTTGAGATCAGACATACCTATCAAATTGCTGCCATGCTGGAAAAGACAACAACAGATAAGTCAAAAGAAATCTTATGGAGGAAGATCCACAACATATACCCATAACAAACATAAAAATGAACTAACTTACCTCAAAGCAGGTTATTTCAGGTTTTGGGTTTTTTTATTTCCAATTTAAAGCAAACATTAATCATGAGTTAATAAATCATGAGTTATTAATGTTTAATAATTCTCACAAAAGTTTTAATACATGAATGTTCAACTTTAAGTACTGTCTTAAAATACGTAAGAGCTTTAGAGTTAGTTACATTTAACAATAAAGAAAAATATTAGTTATATAATTGAAACCTGAACTGTAAATACCTGAATACTTTCATTATTGTACGTAAGAATTTTTCCAACAACAATAACTATGATAATGATAGTGATTTATTGAACGTATGCTCTGTGTCAGGCACTATTCTGTGTGTTTAACATGAATGAACAGCCATATTAAATAGCTACTATTAAAACCCCATTTTATAAATAAGGAAAGTGTGGCACAGAGGGATTAAGCCCAAGGTTATACAGCTATTACAGTAAGTTGCAGGGCTACATATAAAACATGGCCATCAACAATCCATGAAGCTGATCAAGCAATAGACAATAATGTAGTTAAATGACTTGACTCATAGTTAGGACCAGAATTCAAGTTGCAATTCCTGTGTGATTACTTTTTTTTTTTGAGAGAGTCTCGCTCTGTCGCCCAGGCTGGAGTGCAGTGGCATGATCATGACTCACTGCAAGCTCCGCCTCCTGGATTCCCATCATTCTCCTGCCTCAGCCTCCCAAGTAGCTGGAACTACAGGTGCCCGCCACCATGCCCGGCTAATTTTTTTATATTTTTAGTAGAGACAGGGTTTCACTGTGTTAGCCAGGATGGTCTCGAACTCCTGACCTCGTGATCCACCCGCCTCGGCTTCCCAAAGTGCCTGGATTACAGGTGTGAGCCACCGCACCCAGCCAATTCTTTTCCATTATACTACCAGCCTCTTTAGCTCATGTGCCAGTGTGAATTCAAGGCCCCAACAGATGGTCAACCACAAGGTGGATTTTCAGAACACACATGAGAAAAAATTCCTTCCACTATAACTTTTTTTTTTGAGATGGAGTCTCGCTCTTGTTGCCCAGGTTGGAGTGCAACGGTGCGATCTCGGCTCACCGCAACCTCTGCCTCCTGTGTTCAAGTGATTGTTCTGCCTCAGCCTCCTGAGTAGCTGGGATTACAGGCATGTGTCACCACACCTGGCTCATTTTGTATTTTTAGTAGAGACGGTGTTTCCTCATGTTGGTCAGGTTGGTCTCAAACTTCTGATCTCAGGTGACCTGACTGCCTCGGCCTTATAACTTTCTTTATATCATTTAGTTTGACCATAACAATGTATTGGTGGTTTTTTAAGGGGAACCACATTTCAAGTGAAACAATCATTTAAGGAAATGTTTCTGGTAATTCTGTACACATCTCTTGGATGCAGTTAAAGACGGGTCAATCTGATATTGCATTCTGTCACAAGGCAGATGTTACTGGGACAACATTCTGGGATACACAGTGAACATCACCATGGCAAAAGGGAGTTAGGATTTGTTTCACGCAGCTACTATAGACTCTTAAGGCTCCCGATCATATACGTTTTCACTGTTTTCTGTTTTCAGTCGTAGTGGGCTGTCACTTATTCATTGTATGTCTTGAACACTTGGGAAGAAAAAAAAAACTTCATTCCCTTTAGTTTGTTCATGAACACTGTAAGCTGGAGGAAAATAAATCTTAAAGTCCCACTCTTGACCACAGTTTCTCTCCATTTGCAAATCTGGTACTTTGAAAAATATCCAAAAAGACAAGAGAGCTAGGCAGCAGATTAAGTCATAGTAAGGGACAGTATTCAGGTTTAGGTGTCAAGGTTATTTGTTTCAACGTGTAGATGTCCTAACTGAAGCATGGGAAGGCACAGACTATGCTTACCCCCAAGCAGACCATGCCCAGGGCCAAGCCAGCAGCTAAGGAGTATGACTCTCTGTCAGTGCAGTATTCCATTTCAGGACCAGGAGGCCGTCCTGTAAAAAGAAAAGCGACACAGTTCAAACTAGCCTCTCAAAATCGCAACTCATAAAAATCTTAGAATTAACTTTCTAGCAAGTTGCACTGGCGATACGAATGGAATATAACTCCATTCAGAAAGTTATGACACTATGGTGTCCACAAATGTAGGTTTACCTACCTAAAAAAAAAAAAAAAAGGCCCAAAATAGTTTTTAATTTGCCAATTTAAGTCTTTATAAGCAATGATATTCAAATACTATGAAACTTTGAGTCTTACCAAAAAAAATTACCAAGTAATAGAAAACATTTTTAAAGGGAAGAGTATTCAAAAAAAAGTTTTATTTTTTTAAAAAACATCTCGGCTGGGTGTGCTGGCTCATGCCTGTAATCCCAGCACTTCGGGAGGCCGACGCAGGTGGATCACTTGAGGTCAGGAGTTCGAGATCAGCCTGGCCAACATGGTGAAACCCTGTCTCTACTAAAAATACAAAAATTAGCCAGGGTGGCAGGTGCCTATAATCCCAGCTACTCGGGAGGCTGAGGCAGGAGAATCACTTAAACCCGGGAGGCAGAGGTTGCAGTGAGCCGAAATCAGGTCACTGCACTCCAGTCTGGGCGACAGAGTGAGACAGCATCGCAACAACAGCTACAACAAAATATCTTACATTTTGCTTTCATTACTTTCAAATTCACTCATCACATGTGGTGAAACATGTTCAAATGATGATAATGAATAAGGAGGTCACTTGCTTATACTGTTGTTGAATATTATGTTTCAACATTTATTTCGAGTCTATATAATAATGAACCCTACTATGGCAGAATTTCTGTGCACTGATCTCATAAGTCTGACTGGATATAAAATTCATACTTTTAAAAAGCACCCTATAACCCTAATGCTACCTTGTTGAAAATGACAAAATGTACTATGTATTAAAACCCTTCCCTCTGAAAAAAATTTTCACACTCCTAAAATTTTATCCCGATAGGAAAAAAATGCAATTAAAAAAAAAAAGAAAAAAGGCTGGGCGTGGTAGCCCTTGCCCATAATCCCAGCACTTAGGGAGGCCAAGACAGGAGGATTACTTGAGGTCAGGAGTTCGAGACAAGTCTGGCCAACATGGAGAAATCTCATCTCTACTAAAACTACAAAAGTAGCCAGGCATGCTGGCAGACACATGTAATCCCAGCTACTTGGTAGGCTGAGGCATGAGAATTGCTTGAACCTGGGAGGCAGAGGCTGCAGTGAGCCGAGATCGTGCCACTGCACACCAGCCTGGGCGACAGAGCAAGACTCTGTCTCAAAATAAATAAATAAATAAATAAATAAATAAATAAATAAATAATAAAAATTAAAGAAAAAAAAAATCACACAAAGGTAATCAGTGTAATGTTTATACATAACAACAAAGGATTATTAAAACAATCTAAAAAGTTCTAAAAGTTAACAAAAAAAAGCATTTTACAGACCATCAACTCAATGAGTATTATACAAAATTTGTTTTAAAAATCACTTATAATAATGATCTATACAAACAGAATTTTTAATGTACATTCTAAGAGTAATCCTATGAAAAGGCACATACGTATGAATTAAAGATGAAATCTTCTACATACATTATAAAAGAAGTATGCCACAGCTGTGAGACTGTGCAGTGACATCATCAGACATCATCATGATGTAGCCAAAGAATGGTAAACTACTTTCCAGACGAACATGCTTTAACAACCAGTGTTGAATATTTTCTGAATAAGTGTTTTTCAGATCTCTAACTTATGCTACTATGTATTTTGATAGCAGAAACATTTCAACTTTGGGAATAATTTCGTCTATCATTACAGTAGACTAAATTACGGGTGCCGGTCTTCACTGGTTCTCTCTTAGGTTTCTGTCAACACCACGAGAGAAACACACCCTCCAGCCTGGGTCCCAGAATAAGGCAGGTGAGGCAGAACAGCAGCAGAGCAGCCAGCTACACAGCTACAGCCTAAAGCAGAGCTGCCTGGGCCAATGTTAGGCCTGTATGTATGAAGCATCACTGTGGCAATAGCTATCTGATACCATTATACTAAATAATACATCTTTAACAATATATTCAGAAATGCATATAGAAAAGATCTTGAATAGGACATACAAATATGTAACTAAATTGTTGAGCATATTAATAATGCCAATAACACTTCCATTAGGCAGAAAAAGACAACACATAATACAGATTTCCAAAAAGTTTGGACCCAGTAAGAAACAGAGACACTTCACTAAAGTGAGTGTGTGGACCTTACCATTTCCAGGTTCATCACCAACATACCCACCAGCATGTAAAGGAGGAAAGCAGGAGTCAATTACTTGGCTTCTATTGGAAGTGCTGTATCCAACACAGTAAACACTGTGATGTGTATAGTTTAGTGTCTCTCAGGGACCAAAACAATCTACTCTTTGAGTTTTAAGTGCAGGCCACTGCTAGACATTGCTGGTATAGACATAGCAGGATAAACAGCACACTCATATATGATTAAAACCACAGGTACCTCATTAAATGTGACCACTGGAATTCAGTAATAAGCTAGCAAATAAATATGGAGGTTAATAACCTGAAGTTACATCAGCCTTGGATAACATTACTTAGAGATTTTTTTTTTAATTAGTACTAGATCATTCTTTGCTCACAAAAGCTACTATTGTCTTTCCTTAATTTTTATAATATTACTATCATTTTTACTTGGATTTATGTGGAGTGGAAAGTGCATGCCTATGAAGATTCAGCACTATTAATCCCATACCTATCTCAGCCAACAGGACCTCTGCAGTATGTCTGTGAGCAGTCCCTTGATACACAAGGCCAATGCCAACCACTGCAGCCACTTGGACATTGTGAGGAACATCCAGCTCTGTGGACGTTGGGGGTAAGAGAGCAGGAATGTGAATGCTAAGAAGTCGAGTGATAGACATATCCATGGTGCCTAGTTTTGCAGCAGAAACACCAAGCAGCAGTCCAATGCTTGTCATTTCATGGCCCTAAGATAGAAACAAAACAAATATGTAGTTTAAATAAAATACTGCCTGCCACTTTCAAGAAGTACTTTTATGTTGACAGGCACAATGAGAGGCACCGAGAATATAGTGGTAAACTAAACAAACATGGTCCTTGCTCTCATGGACCTAATGTCTTAATAGGAAAAAAAGTGTTAAATTAAAAAATATAAACAAATATATTATTAAAAAGTAGTATAATAAGAAAGTACAAAGTATTATGAAAGAGTATTTTAAAAGAGCTTAATTTAGATTGGGAGGGACTAGAGGATTATTAGGGATGAAATCTCTAAAGATTATACAAAGAAATTTATATTATGACCTGAAGGATGAAAACAAATTAGCCAGGAACAGTAGCAGGAAAGGGGACACTCAAGTTTAGAAGGTGAGGAAGACTGTTTCAGGTAATAAAACAGCATATAAATGGTTCCGAGGTGATTCAGAAATAAACCCTCGCATTGACATCAACTGACCACAAGAGTGCCAAGACAATTCAATAGGTAAAGGGCAGTCTTCAAAAAACAGTGCTGGGACAAGTGGAAAGACACACGCAAAAGAATGAGGCTGGACTCAACACAATATAACAAGTGTTGGCAAAAATATGGAGAGACTGGAACTCTCATGTATAGCTGACAGGGTTGTAAAATGGTGCAGTCATTATGCAAAACAGTTTACAGTTCCTCAAAAAGTTAAACAGAGTTACCATATAACCCAGCAATTCCACTCCTAAGTATGTACCCAAGAGTAATGAAAACATACATCCACACAACATGTATACAAATGTTCACAGCAATATTATTCATAATAGCTAAAAAGTCCAAATAACCCAAATATCCATCAACTTATGAATAAAATGTACATTCATAAAATAAAACATTTATTCAACAACAAAGAGGAATGAATTGCTGATAGATGGCACAACATGGATGAACCCTGAAATTATCAGGCTAAGTGAAAGAAGCCCATCCTAAAAGATCACATTTTGTATGACTCCATTTATACGAAAGGTATAGAAAAGGCAAACCCATAGAGACGGAGGACAAATGGTTGGCAGGAGCTGAAGTGAAGGTGGGGGTGGGGTGGAGAAATGGGGAGTGGGTACAAGAAGAATGCTAGTGGGTACAAGGTTCCTTTATGGGTGAAAAAAATGTTCTAAAATTAACAGCAGTGATGGATGCACAACTCTGTGAATATACTAAAAACCACTGCACTATATACTTTAAACAGTGAATTATATGGTATGTGAATTTTATATATTTATATAAATAAAGATTCCTTAAAAAAAAAAATAAGGCTGTGAAGTGAAAGAGTTTAGTTTGCCAGGGAGCTAAAATAGCCAATCTGTATGGTTAGAGCGTGGGGGAGCAAGAAGAAGAGTGGGGCCGGGTGCAGAGGCTTACGTCTATAATCTCAGCACTTTGGAAGCCCGAGGCAGGCAGATCACCTGAGGTCAGGAGTTCAAGACCAGCCTGGCCAACATGGTGAAACCCCGATTCCATCAAAAATACAAAAATTACCCAGGTGTGATAGTGCACACCTGTAACCCCAGCTACTTAGGAGGCTGAGGAAGGAGAATCACTTGAACGTCAGAGGCGGAGGTTGCAGTGAGACGAGATCACACCACTGCACTCTAGCCTAGGTGACAGAGCAAGACTCCATCTCAAAAAAAAAAAGAACAGTGGTAACAACTAGGGCTGCAGAAGTGAATAGGATCACACCAGCTCCTAGAATGTATATTAAGAGCAATTGTTGATCCCTCTTTCTCCTCTGGTGTTGGGAATGTTGGCCTTGTTTTAAACCAGTTTCCCTTCACAGAAGTTCAGCCATTGTATGGGATCAGAATAAGGTCCTGGGGCAACTAAAGGTATCTGGCCAAGGGTACCTTGGTGTTATCCGAAGGACCCTAGACTGGCCCCCAGTCCCCGACAGCCCGTTCTGGTGTCGGACAAAGACTTCCAATCTTTCCTATCATGTTTTCCCTACTGCTTTTCTGAGAAATGTTACTTAGTTATGTGTCTCTTTGATAAATTGCTTCTTTTCATGGCAGGATGCTGGGTTATGCCTGATGAAGCTAAATAAACTGCCAGCCAAATGAAAATTATAGACAAATAATACGCAAGAACCCCCTGGATTCATCTTAGTCTCGAGCTTATATAGAATTCAGACAGAGAAATCAAAGGCAGTCAACAAGGAGGGTCAAGGCTGAGCGCAGGTGAACGGGACGGTTCCTGCTGGCTTGATCCTCCCCTGGTCATGAATGGCGGTTGCGTGCACATCCACGACCAAGGCAAGCCTGAGAGATGCCTTGGACTCCAGGACGGCAGAGGGAAAGACTAAGGATGCATTTTTCTCCCCTCTCTCTTTCTAAATGGGTAGCCTGCACTCCTCTCAAGTGCATCTTGAAACACTAGGACTCCTTCGATCCTCAGACTCTGAAGAAAAAAGGCCTGGCATTTATCAGTACCAAGGCTTGGCCCAGCTAGAAGTTGGAAGATGGGCAGACCTAGTCAGCTGGGGAAAATATTAATTATAATACTATCCAATAGCTAGATCTCTTCTACTGCAGAGAAGGAAAATGGTCAAAAATCCCATATGTATAGGCCTTTTTTGCCCCGCGGGATAACCCCAAGCTCTGTCAGCAATGTAGAACAGACCCTGCACTTATAGCAGTGATATCCAGCAAGGCAGACTTAATCCAGACAGAGGGGAAAAAACAGTCTGTCTCCTTAGAGAAGGAGGCAGAGGCCCCTGCACCAGCCCAGGTCCCAGCTCCTCTTGGATCATCTTGTCCCCCTTATCCAGGCCCCGTTTTGACCCTCATGCTGTTAGAAGAGTTCTATCTGGATATGTTCCAGCATCACTTCTTCCTTTACAGGAAATGCCTAGTGAATATGGTCCTATGAAAGATTTGAGGCAGATAAAAGGAAATCTAGGAAAATTTTGTCAACCTTGATAGGTATATTGAAGCCTTTCAGAACCTTACTCAAGTGTTTGAGCTTTCACGGAAGGGTATCATGTTACTTCTCAACCAGACTTAGAGCTTCAGAGAAGCAGACGGCTTTACACGTCGCTGAGACACTTGGAGATAAAATGTTTGCATCTTATTACGGCACCTACCAAAAAGGGGAAGAAATTAGGGAGCCCTTTCTGACAGTCAAGCAGGCTGTACCCACCAAAGATCCTCAATGGGACTCAGACACTGCTCTAGGAAAGTGGCAGAGAAAACATTTTCAGGCATGCATACTGGAAGGTCTGAGAACTAGAGCCAAGTCTGTCAATTACATTAAGTTATCAACCATAAACCAAGGGTCTGAAGAGAACCCTTCTGTTTTCCTGGAAAAACTGACAGGCTTTAATTAAACACACATCTCTCTCCTGACTCTATAAAAGGACAGTTAATTTTGAAAGACAAGTTTATAACCCAAGCAGCCCCAGATATTAGAAGAATGCTGCAAAAAGTTAGCTATTGGACCAGATAGTACCCTAGAGAATCTCCCGAAAGTCCCCACCTTGGTCTTTTATAATCAGGACCATGAGGAAGCCCAAGAAAAAGGAAGAACAGGAACAAAAAAAGGCAGAGGCACTAATAGTTGCCATACAGGCATATAAACCTCTGGATCCCCGGGGAGCTTCTCCTTCTATGACCAGCTGTTATCAGTGTGGGGGTACTAAAAGAGAGACTGCCCTCGATATCAGAAGCAGCCCCCACGGCCCTGTCCAATCTGTAAGGGAGACCACTGGAGGATAAACTGCCTCTGGAGACGTCCGTCTCCAGGTTCAGAGCCGGCTTCTCAAATGGTCCAACAGGACTGCTGGGTCCCAGGGCTCTCCTCCCCAGCTCTGACAGCTCAGGCTGTATTATCATCCACGAGTCCCGGGTGATTCTGGAGGTCAAAGGGACTCAGACGATGGACTTCCTCCTCAATACCTGTCCTCCTCGCCAAACTGGGCTTCCCTCCTCCCTTAGCACAACTGTGAGGGGCGTCTCAGGAAAGCCTCTGACCAGATATTTTTCTCAACCCCTTAGCTGTACCTAGGGAGACCTTTTGTTTACCTATGGCTTTTTAATCATACCTGAAAGCCCAGCTCCTCTGAGGTAGGGATATTTTAGCTCACAAGGGAACCACCATCCTTATGTCTCCAGGACAGACTCTTTGCCTCCCTCTGGAGGAGACTGATATTAATCCAGAGGTTTGGGCAATTCAGGGAAAAACTGGCTGAGCTACAACAGTCTCACCGGTCCAAATCCATCTCAGGGATCCCATCTCCTTCCCTAATCAAAGACAATAGCCCCTAAAAACAGGAGCTAGGAAAGGGCTAGAAGCCATCATTAATAACCTAAGGATGCAGGGCCTTGTTAAACCCTGCAACAGTCCTTGTAATACCCCAATATCGGGAGTACAGAAACCCAACAGGGAATGGAGACTGGTCCAGGATCTCCACCTCCTTAATGAGTAATTGGTGTAATGAACCAATTTACCCAGTGGTTCCCAATCCCTATACTTTGTTAACTTAGATACCAGAGGAAACTAAATGGTTTGCATTCCTGGAATTAAAAGATGTTTTTTTCTGCATACCATTATACCCCAACTCCCAAAACTTGTTTGCATTCAGGGATCCCTCCAACCAGACTACTCAGCTAACCTGGGTGGTGTTACCGCAGGGATTCCAAGACAGCCCCCACCTGTTTGGGCAGGCATTGTCAAAAGATCTGAGTTCTTTCAAACTCAAGTTAAAGTCTTAATATGTAGATGACACTCTCCTCCGTGCCCCAACTGAGGAAATTTCTCAGAAAGGCAGTAAGGCTCTTCTTAAATTTCTAACTGACGGAGGACATAAAGTTTCAAAGTCCAAGGCTCAACTCTCTCAGACTTCAATGAAGAACCTAGGCCTGGTCTTGTCAGAAGGGACCAGGGCACTGGGCAAGAAGAGAATTGGACCCACTTTCTCCTTCCCCTCTCCCCAAGACCCTCAGCTAACTAAGGAGATTATCGGGCATTACTGGATTCTGCAGCCTATGGTCAGAAATCTAATTAAAGGCATTGCAATGCCTAATTATAACATATCTAATGATCTAGGGGGACATGCCCATGACAATCCTATTTTGCAAAATCCTGGAATAGAACACTCCATTTTCAGAGGTTTTCTTTCTGTCCTTTCTAGGTTTCCCTAATATACGGGCATGGATTTTCCCCCTTTTAGTTCCTCTTTGTGTTCTCATTGTAATACTCACATTTGGTTCATGTGTACTTAACCTCCTTGTAAAATGTGTTTTTTCTCGCCTAGAGGCCATCAAACTCCAAATGGTCATGCAAATGGAACCTCGGCTGACGGCTCCCTTTTACCAGGGACCCTTAGATAGGCCTGTAAGAGAGACCTGACTGCTGCTTCCCAAAACCACATCCTCTGTCAGCATGAAGCAGTTAGAACAGTCATCATGCCTATCCTAACGGCAGTTAGATGTACTTCTTCAGGGTGGGGATTGATAGCGATAGGAGGTAGGTAAGTTCTCAGGTGAAACTCAACCTTCAAGCCAAGGACAGTCGAAAGCCAGAAAACCAAGCTACAAGTTCCGGATACATCCACGGACCAGAGAGCTCTCATTCCTGTTTGGCACGCTCTCTCCTGATTGGTCCTTATCCTTCACCTACTTTACGTATACCTGTCCTTCCCCAGTTGGTCCTCTACACTATCGTGCCTATTTCTAAATGGTGCTTTCTCAAGCATACCCACAGACCAATCAGCATGCACACTCATTTCACGCCCATAAGAACCCCTAGATTCAGCCTTGTGGCCGGCAACCCACCTTTGGGTCCCCTCTCGCTGTTGAGAGCTTTTCTGTCACTCATTAAATTCTACTCCGTCTTACTCAAAATAAAAAAAAAAGAGCAACGGGAGATCATTAACTAAATGGCTTTGACCAAGGAAGTGACATGCTCTGATTTACGCTTTAGAAAGATTATTCCATGTACTGTGAGACAAATGGACTTAGAAGTACAAGAATGAAGAAAGAAGAGCAAACAGAGTAAGCAGGAGCTACTGCTAGCCAGGCACTGGGAGCACAGGCTCTCACCTTGGTCAAGTAGTCATGGATATTGAGAGTCGCCAGCTTGGTGAGGTGTCCATTCAGCCCCAGAGCCATGAGGAAGCCAGCATACTCATTGGCTAACTCCGCATGCTTGGGCTTATTGTAAACAATCCAAGCTGAGTCGATCTGGGAGGCAGGAGCTATCTTCAGGCCAGCAGCTACGCCATTATGAAAGCTGGCCCAGCTTGTCATGTTGGGAGGCACGTCGATGTTTCCACTATTAAGGTCGACTGTTGTGTTCCGAGGAGGGGCACGCCCTATCCAGCCAAACAAAATTTAACATTGAGAGAACAAAAATTCACAAAACCAAGACTAGATCTTTGAGACCAAGATTACCTACATTTTCTACATTCAAAACCATCAATGCCTGGAATGTGAGGTCTCTATGACCACTTACAACTTTTGTACATGTGAGTCAAACTTAATGCAAACTGGAAAAACCTTCACTGTCTAAACAGTTCATGGTCCTTTTTGTTAAAATGTATGAGGCTATATAATGAGATAACTGATACCAATTTAACATTATACAGAGATGATTGGGATAATCACTGCTTTGAAATCTTTCTTTCAAACAGTAGAGAGCTTAGAAACCAAAATGAAGACTAACATCACTGCTAAACTATACAAGTTATAAATCCCAACATCTGATGACATTGGTGTTAATTTCGAATGTTCTATCCTATATTTTTCCATGGACACTAAGGAAAAATGACATCTTAAGAAGAGACAAAAGCCAGGCCTGGTAGTGCACGCCTGTAGTCCCAGCTACTTGGGAGGCTGAGGCACGAGAATCACTTGAACCTTCGAGGTGGAGGTTGCAGTGAGCCAAGATCATGCCACTGCACTCCCACCTGGGCAACAGACAACTGCATCTCAAAAAAAAAAAAAAAA